GGGCATCAATGGAGACAACAAACGCAGAAAGAGTCACATGTTCCATAAAACAATTCACGACATACTTCGCGGTAGTTTGGTTTGTTTTGCTAGACGACATGTTCTTTTTGTTTAAACCCTGTAGGGGTCCATTGCTTATATGCTGCTGAGATGATAACAATTGAAAACAATTGCTTCTCCAACTCCTCCCCAAAGATTCCCAACTACCTAACCTCACATGCCTCTTTTTCAAATAGATCTGGGTTTGTCCATAAAACATCATAAGACCACCTGAAACCTTCGTGAGGGTCGTGGATCGTGGCTCTTTCTCGATACCTCCACGGACACTTCGCCCAACGAGACACTCCGCAGATAACGAGACTTCGATCGCCCAGGATGGAAAATTTGTCCTGGAGACTTCGCACAAGGCGTGCGGAATTGGTTTTTTTTTGTAGTCATAATTTGGGGTCAGAGTCGTTTTGGTGTGTTTCTAGATTCTAGATAGGGCTCAAGAATTCGATGGAAGTCCGATCCCTGTCTTAAGGTTTGTTTTTCAGTCCGGTGAGTTTTGTTTGATCATCAATCTCGTGGTCTTTATGCTTGTCTTGTCAGAAAGTTGCATCGGGCGCAGAGCATGTGTCTCGCATGCTTGTCTTGACAGGTTACAATTAGGTGGAGGAAAGCTTTAGACTAAAGGGTTCTGACTGGGCTGTTGTGTTTTGATGCCGAACATCCGGGCTACCTGGGCTACCTCCCGGGTCTCGTGAACACATGGACAACAAGAGACCTGCTGTCGTCTCCTATTCGGTGCAGGGAGGAGTGCACATCAACCATATGGCAGTGACGTCAAAACAGGGGCACCTGGTTGACCATAGAAGGAACACAGCACCAGGATGTAGCAGGGAGGTCAAGTCACCAGAGTTTGGAGCTGCAGGTTTTGACCCACTGCCATGTGTCAAACTGTCAATTTCTTTGGGGGTGCACTTCCGACACATCGATTCTAACATACATTCTTAGACCCTGAAGCCAAGAGATGTCAGTGCCCCGTTAGTTTAACTAGTTGTAGTGAGGGTACCTCTAGGTACCTTCACCTCCAGGCCCGAAACCTACCTCGAGATTCCAAATCCTGAAGGCAAGATGCGCAAAGAGTAGCCAGATGGTGCTCAAAAAACGTCCGACCAATGTGGTTTTGGGTGTTGCTCCACAGATCTCCACATCTTCGCCCATGCAGCACAGATGCAGCACGCTGCATGCAGCACATGTAGCTGCGTGTGGCAGAACTGCTGGTACCCGATCCGTTGAGGTCCAGAGATGTTCTCAGTGGTTGGTGGGCCTTGCACGGTGGACAGCAGTGGTTGTGTCATGAGTCCGAGCCACAGCTGCATGTGGTGGCCGCCCGCGCGCAGAGCTGTTGAAAGGGTTGGATTTGGGTACCCTTTGAGTCACATGGAAATGGAAGTGGATGGCATGTCCCGTTGAAGTTGGAAGACGACTTTCCTGTAACAACAAGGGGTGAGCTCCACTTCCATTTGATGTGTCCCGAGTGTAGATGGTGAGTGTTTGAGTCGATTCTTGGGGATTCGGCCATTTGGCTCTTGGAGTAGGAGATGGGCATCAAGAGAGAGCTCAGATTCTGCGCTGATGATGCTGATCCCTCCGATGCGTCCCGAACGTTTCATCAGATTTCCGTGATGCGTTTGGTTATCCCCCCCCATGTTGCACCATTGAAAAAAACACCAAACGCTTCCCACTCCATCTCCTTCTTCGCGTCCTTCTGTGTGCCCATCATGGAAATGTTCCCCAACACATATCGGCCGCAGACATTCGTTTGGTGAGAGATTCGGCCGCAGAGTTCGCCGTTTTGCCACGGAGGAACTATCCACAGACGTATGGCCCGAATCAAGACTGTGCCATCCAGGTTGGGAGCGATGTTTAGAGCGTCTTCCGAGCGGAAGTTGGTGCATCCGCGACCCACCGAAATGAGAGTTCTACGTAGTTCAGTAAGGTTCTAATAGATATCCCTGTAGAGATCCACATACTTTCTCAGATGGAAGCTTCAAAGCAATGTATATTCAAGGAGGTCTCCAATCACCTTCTTAAAGGCTGAGGATCCATGGGGCCATAGCGAATGTTCCTATAGCTACAACTGGAACCGATGAAGGGAGTTAGTGGAGATCACTGTCTTAACATCCATTCGCAGACAAAGGCAGGTTTCAGCAGGTGTGAATCGCTGATATGTATGACGGGGTTCTCGATGAAGGTTTGTAACCCAGGAAGGAGCGAAACCTGGTTTCATCCACACACTATGGCGTATCTGGAAACGAACCGATTATCGCGAGTTTAACCTTCATTTCATGCGTTTGTCCAAGCTGCTTGGTTCATGGAATTGTTTGGACTCAGAGACTCGGGTTCCCAGTCACTCAGAGACGAAAGGCATTTGCGCAGAGACCTGCTTTTGGAGCAGGTTTGAAGGTGAAGAGAGGTCATGGTTCTGTAGGACTACAGAAACGCCAACAAAACAGCAAAAAGCTGACATCTTTGAGCAATGAGCCTTTTTTCCACGATCACGGCCAGTGGCCAATGTACTAGAAACAGCAGGACCATGGCAGAAGTTGACAGATTGTCTACATTAGTTTCAACTAACAAGTAACACTGTGTATAGCATGAAATTATGCAGATGTTATGTAAATATGTTTTGAAAACAAACATGTATATAAAGGTGATGAAAGTGGACAAGTGGTGTAAAAATTGTACCACTGCCAAGGTGCCTCCGAGCCTCCTGTCGTTTTCGCGGGTCCAAGGAGATGCCGGAGCCTAACTCGGTTCCCACCCTTGCTCCGCTGAATTGTTTCCTCGTGGTCGGCATTGACGACGACGGTAATCAAATGTAATCAACCACTAGATACCGTACCCCTATATACCGGATGTATCCGGTTTGCATAACTGTATAACTGCAATTGAAAGAACAAGATATATAACCTTATATACCTCTATGTTGCTGCAAATATATTTGCGCATCATTTATCATTGGAGTATGACAGACGAACGGTCATTTGCTTTGACTGGGCAGGTCTTCAACCCTGACAACAAGAGTCTCACGGTAGAGTCCTTTGCCACAGAGATGAACTACGATGCCGCTGGGTGAGTTGTGCAACGTGCGCAGGAGCAGTGAGTGTTGTTTTGTTTATTAATTATTGTCATTAAGATTCAGCCTGTTCACATGCTGCATGATGTTGGCATGCTAAAAATCCTTGTAGCGAAAGTTTGAAACATTAGTGCATCTTGGTTTCAGTAGGTAGTGATCAAAGTCATGATCTATCAAAGTCGTTGGTTCCTTTGTGAGGCTGCCTCTGTCTCACCAGTCGACAGGTATCACCGCAACAGTCCAAGAATCAAAATCGTTGGTGAAGCACTTTTTTAAAAGAGGCAGGTCCCATGCTTCTTCAGGTCCTCTGGGTCAACGGGCGCATGTTTGCTGGCCAGGGCCTCAGTCGCTGGCTGGGCCGGGCCTTGGTGGTGTTCATGGTTGTGGACGGCTTGGAACTGGCGGAGTTATCACAGTCAGTCTGCCTAACATGGGCTGTATCAGACAGAGACCGCAGTCGTCGCGCTAGAAACACAGTCAGTTGCCACTCACGCAGAACTGGTGCAGCTCTCATGATTTACTATAGGTCTGTCTTGTTTGCTCTGGGGTCTTCACAGCTGGACTCCTCAAAACACGGACCCCAAACGCAAGAAACGCCAACACACAAATACCCGTTTCAACATGCTTCAAGTGTTGAAGGAATCCTGTGTGTGTGTGCGTTGTTTCTTTGGCTCTTTCTTAGGCACATGCACACAGAGATGTATCACAAAAAAATCTGTTGGTTTAGCCAGCAGATGTGCCATGAATCCCAGTTGGTTGCCCATACTTGGCAACGAAGGAGTTCCCTGCTGAACTTTCCAGAATAACACAGGTGATTGAACACACAACTTCCCACAAAACCCTTGCACAGACAGTGTCACTTAGCGACTCTTGTGTATATAAATATATTTGTGTTCTTTGATGTTCTTTGTAGTTTTAAGACCGAACCCAACACACTTCCAGCGCTACAGCGACCTTCCGCAAGCAGTAAGCAGAGTCTCTGAGTGGACAGACTGCAGGATCAAGTAACTGGCTACTGAGGCACAACCAGCCCCCATGGTCTGGTGCCTACAGGCAGCGTGCCACACGAGAAGTGTTTTCTTGTTTCTGACATTGGATGGATGGGAGTCACAGATGCCGACCTGTAAAAGCTCCTGACCGCAGAGAATTGATGAGAATTGAACATTTTTGCATAACATGTGTAAAACCATGAAAAGCCATTCCCACCTCGTCAGTGGATGACCTTTAACATCCTTTAACACTCTTAGGGATCGGTTTCTCCATGTTTCCCCACTCAAATCCGAATACAAAACTCGGTGAACCAGTATTTCCAGAAATCTCCGACCAAAGGGAGGTTTCCCCAAATGAAAAACATGTTTGAGGCCACGAAGTTCGCTCGGAGGCACCGATTCGGACCGATGAATTTCACCACCCTGTGCCATGAAGTGAATCGTCGAGTATAGTGGCTGAAAGATGCCACCCAGGTTTTTTTTCAATCCTTGGTCAGAACACAGGATGGAACTCATCCAATCGTTTGGTGGTCAAATGGCCAGCCTTCCTCCAGTGTCTTGATGGAAAGAAGAGGTTGGTTTGACATCCTTGGCCACTACCCTCATGAAGGAAGCTAGCAGATGGTCTGTATGTCTTCATGGTTTGCTTTGATTTCTGACTGCGCCTTGCCAGAAGCTATCCAATGGAGTTCGGACCAGGCGGGGTGGGATATTCTCCGCTCTTGAGGGAGAGTTGGATCATGTATGGCCAAAAGCATGACCACTGGAAGTTGTTCGCATTACCACAATAGCGGTTGGTTCTAGTGAGTCATAACGGTCATAACTGTTTGAGCTTCTTAAGGCCTTGCGTTGATGGCACTAGACTATATAATATATAATATAATATATATGGTTCAAGCAGGCCTGCCACCTTCGGTTCGGGGTCGCTGACGGACATTAAGCTGGCTTGGACGATCAACCACATTCCAAAATCACCTCAACGAGCTTGCTCTCAGGACTTTAACCCCAAGGAGCTTGTCTTTACATCTTGAAACACAAGGATATCCTCAAATCTGACCTGGTGATACAACTAAATACAGATTACGCACCTGCCCAGACCCCATGCAGTGCTCGTGTTCGATTTCGAGGTCATGTTTCCAGGTGGTCAGCTCTTTTCAGCCCCTAAAGCGCCGCCTTTTTCCACCGAGGACACCGAGGACCGAGGATGGAAGATCTGTCCCGGACCCGTGGGGCAGCAGGTCGCCGAGATCCAAAGTGTGGATGAGGGCTCCCTGGGCCGCAGGATGTAGGACGGGATGCCCATCAATCGGCAAAGACGACGAGAAGAAAGTGGGATGACGACACAAGAGAGAAAAACGCAGCCACCGCCCCTTGTAAAGAATCCTTCCCTTCTGGATATTGTTTAATCTCTGACGGGCAATTGAGGCATTAAGGGTAGAAGCAAGAGGTGTTGGTCAGTTCTAGTCAGTTTCCAACAGCAGCCAAGTGGGAGGTTGGTGTCCTAGGGCCATACGTTACTATCCTATGATCATTGTCAAAGCGATTCCCGTTGACCACAAGGTTGGGGTTGGGGCACGCATGGAGGGACCTCCGGAACCGATGATTCGATCAACTCCATATCTTCGGAAAGCTGGGGATGGGATTCACCAAACAGATTCTTTGCCTCAATGCAAGCAATCCTTTGAAGTATAGATGGCAGCTGATAAAGCCCAGGTGACAATGAAGAGGCCTATGACTATGATTATGGATATGGTCCCGATGCTTGAACAGCATTCAGTGCCAATCGCAAGAGCCAAAAGTGCATCAATTGATTTGTCCAAACACCAAGGATGCCTTGTCGTTGCTTGGCTGATTGATTGATACGCTTGGTTTCAACGTCAGAGGTCAGCAGGTCTCCGATATCCAGAAAACCCATGACATGCACGCCCTGGGTCTCTAGCACGATGCACCGTTCACCAGAACAGCAGGTTGTCGGCTGTTTGTCTACGCTATGGCTCCCAGCAGACGGATCCCCCATTGCCACATGCGGGATGGTCAACATCTGAGAATGTTCAACGTAGACTGTTCATTAGTACCCCAGCTTGGGATGCATGATGCATTCCTTGGGAACGCGTCGACTCCTTTGACCATCCCTCGGTAGCATTCCCGGGCGAGTTGCTGTTGCTACAGGACCAGTTGAAGAGGTGAGGGATTCCCCATGTCATCCAATGTCCCGTTGTATTTTAGACAGCTTTCTTGTACTTGTTCAACAGTTTGCAGTTGCATCAAGTTGACATGACTTTGCAATCCACAGACCATTTTAGATGGACCCAACAAAGCAGACCTCGGCTTCCTCGTTCGTTCTTCAGTTGAAGAAACCGGGCGCCACAGGCCCGACAGCGGCGCCGGCCCGGCAGGCGCTGCCAGCACTGGATTTGATGTTTTGTTGCAATTGAAAGCCCTTGATCCACTGCGATTACAATCCACTGGGCTTTCAATCAAGGACTTGATCATGACTGAAATACATATCCACTGCGATTTATATAACGATTTCAGACCGATTCATGATGGGCTGGGAAGCCCAATGTATTTGCTTTTTGGGGTTCCACTTATTCCACTTGCAGCTTTCTGCTGGGACACGACCCATGTTCTTATACAAGACACAGGTGCCAAGGTTGTGGATCATGGCGCCAAGTCCAGGCACTGCACCACCCCAAGATGACCTGAGTGCAAGCAAGGACGCTCCCATCGACCTGTCAACATGCGAACGTGGCGTTTGGTCAGAGGATCTGTGGCGAAGCCCTTCCTAGGGGTGTTCAACTGTGTTGGTTGCATGGTGAGGTGTTGGCCAGGGGTCTTCAAGCAAGTTCTTCGTAACAGCCGAACACACCCAAACCATGATGATTAGACTTTGTTTGATGGAGCTTTTAAATTAAACGTCAGATCCTCTCATCCTGGTGACCAACCCGCTTCAATGAAGGCAGTTTGACTGAGAACTACAGAGATGCATACTCTTTGCATCTCTTTGCTATTCCCCAAGTACACCCTGACATAGCTTGTTGACGTTTGCTTTACTAGAAAACAGAGATGCTGTTTTTTGGTGCTCTTGCTAACTTTGTTTGTCAGAAACATAGGGAGGCCCGATTCCAATCAAATGGGCCACCGGTATTGGAAGTGCCCCTGTTCCTTCTACACTCTCAAAATGAGCACAATAAGAGGTTGCTGATGCCCTGGATCTTTATTGTTGATCCTATTTGTTTCGAGGTGATGACATGACATGACCATCTTCGGAACGACCCATTCACCACCACGTGCCTTCTTCTCGCGTCGTGGCCAACGACCGTCGATTCGTCGGCCAACGACCCGATTCGTCGGGGCTGAACAGTTGAACCTGCAGAGAGAGCACAGGCCTCACCTCAGTTGCAGTTGCTTCTTGCTGTTGCTTTTCTCTTCTCAAGTGAGCTCCCTCACTTGCAGCCTCAGCTCAGTAAGTAAGCTCCCTTGCAGTTGCTTCTCTCTTCTCTTTGTTGGACCATCGGAAACCCCTGCTTTGTGGAGATTCATACTTCAAGGATCTTCAAGGGGGTCATTTTGCCGTGGTTCAGGGAGGGCAGTTACTCAGTAGACCACAGGAAAATGGGGGTGTGGAGGCTGAATCCGTTCCAAAAAGAACTTCTGTTTACTCAGCTCTCATGACCAAACTAGAAGTAGAACTCAAATCAATCATCAAAAAGGAAGTATACACTAGATTCATCCTTTAAGGTCTAAAAAACTGTAAACTTTTCCTGAAAACAAACACGCTGATCATCATCTTCACCTGTCCAGGATGTGGGGGTCTCTACTGGCAACTTCTTCTTCAAAGTCGCCTTGGCCTCCATCGCAGTCTGCTTGGCTGGAGCGGCTCGGATCTGGAGCCGTTGGTTGACGTGGTAAGACATCGCCACTGACATCGCTACCGATCCAAGGACGCCTGACATGAACGGGGTACAGGTCAGACATGCATGAGGGATCGAAGATGGACAACAATCATGAAAATAAAGCTCGACTTGATAGCTTTCTTATGAACCACCATGGTTCTTACATGCCAAAGTATGGCACCAACATCTGGTGTTGGAGGCAAACATGTGGGATTGGATATCCATTTATCGAAACTGTCAGCGGTTGGAAGATACTAGTTGTTTAGTTCCATGCAACTTCAAGAGTGAGGACACTCTGACACTCATAGGAGATTCCGCTTTGGTATGATGTGGCAATGTAATATATTTTTTTCAACATGAAGTGTGCCTGGATCCGTTGTCACTCACACTGTGTTTCATCCCTCGGTCTCAAGATGATGAGCCATGCTCCAGTGGAAGCCTTCTTGAGAGCTTTGGATCAACCTGAAGCGTCGTTGGTCCACTCGTCCAGGCGTTGCATGGGGAGATGGTTCAACCGAGAGTCTTGGGGTGTTTACCACACAAGGATCACCACTCAGATCGAGAAAAATTGCCTATAAACCCTAGGGCTACAAGCATATCCTCAGAAGGTGCTTGGATCCCCCCCTGGCACCCACACCCATTTGGGAGGGTGTTGGTTGTTTTGCTCTGACCCACCCGAACCTTGAACCTTGGGCTGCCAGGTGCTTTGTCTGCGCTATCGACGGCGGCTGGGCACAGAACTGGAGGAGACGGTGAGACGGACAGGATGGTGCGACGAACATGAAGCGACTGGGGGTGTCTTATCACGAAAGATAGCCCTCAGGATTCCGGGATTGATTGATTATGATTGATTGTTGTTGGTGGTGGTGGTAGTTGTTTACATCCTTGTGATTCTTCAGAACTGGCCCAAGAGATCGATGTGGCTCGCTGGGGCCGAGCTCGCGGATGTGCGGATGTGCGAGATGACCATGTCGATCTCTTGGATTCGCTGAAGATTCACGTTCGCTACTGCAGGATGTTTCAATGATGACCGGAGACCCCAAACAGTGTGTGTTTGAGGTCGATGAAGGCGTAGCAGCAGTGTTTGTGGACACACTGTTTGGGGAATTAAAGAAAAACAAAAACAGCAACAACGGGCGTCCACTCGAGATGGGAAGGGGGGAACTCCCACCGCCTTCGTGCTTGGTCGGACTGGAGTCGAGCTCAGCGAGCTATACGCTCAGCATGAACTAAGACGTCCTTCTTGGACCGTCTTAGATCTTCTGGGATCTATTATGCAGACACTCCATGACTCCATGATGGAACAATAGATGCCTGCATTTACACCCCAAAGCAGCCCCGATGGCAAATATTCCAGCCCCATGGTGTTTGGGAAAGGCAATCGAACCATAAAGCAGTTCCACGGTGCTGAACTTGGAGGGTTTCCCCAAGGTGCCAACATCCACTCACTTGGTCTAATCTCTCTGACGTGGGACTGCTGGATGTTGCGTATTTGTAGGAATGTTGCAAGCCGATTGAGGTCTCCAAATGTTCATGTTGCGAGTTGCGACTGACCAGTTTCTGTTGTGTTGCACATCTTGACCTTTCGCAACTTACGTTTCTTTGAAGCACCGGTGTAGAGCATGTCACTCTGGAGCAGTGAAATTGCTTAGCAAAAGGGCGACACTTGGCTATGATGACTCGAGTGACTTGGCCATGCATGGCATGCCGTGTCCCATTACCTGTACGAGTCGGTGAACAATTATCACCGTTTTAGAACAAGGCCTGCAACTGCACCACTGTAACTGGCAATGGGATATATCCAAGCCATGCACTTGTTGACTAAGGCAACGCAAAGAAAATCGCAACTTGGATCACAACATTTGATGCATCCATATGCATCGACCGCACATATCCATGCATCGAGGTTTGTGGGAGTTCCCCATTACATACACTTGATGCACGAAACATGTGATGGTCCATCACGTTGAAGCAGACAATCGCATGGAAAACAGATGAGCACAATGTTTCGATTACTAATCGGGTGGTGTTCCACATCCATTCCAGTGAGCGTGCATTTCTTTGTTTTGTTTAGGTTGATGGTCCATTGGCGTTGCCTTGCAACTGTAATATGCTATTGGTCAAACTGATACTGCATCCAACCTAATTAAACAAACATAATCAAGCAGACAAAAGAAAGGCAAACACATAGTATGTCCTTCAAGGATCTTCAAGTTTTATATAATATATATAGTGATGACTTTGGAACACTATTATCAATATTTATCAATGGTCATTTTTTTTGATGGATAAATGGTAAATATGTATATATATATATATGTATATACATATTGACCCTTGAGGCTGTCACACAGGCTATTTTGACCGAACGTCCCAGGCAATGAGTTCGGCACTCCTTATGGGCGGAGCTATGCGCTTGACAACTTGTAGCCGGCAACAATTCGACGGTGGGCCAGTTGTGTCACACAATGGCAACGTCATTTGTTCTTGGCTTGAAGGTAAACTCGTGCAAAGCAAGCTGTGACAGACCTGCTAGTCCAAATCCCTTCCAAACTCAAACACCCTCAGCTGGTATTATGGTTTCTGAAACTAGCTTTGTCTTACTGTAGTTGTTGATGGTTTATTGTGTTCTGTTGTGGTTTGTTTGTGCTTGGAATCAGCCAGCTTTCTTAATTGTTGCTGGAAAGCTTATGTTGATTGAATCCATTGGAGCTCATTTGCCCAGATGCTGTGCGAAACTGCACGAGGTTAATACATTGGGAAATGGCCAGCGTCGGCACAACCCGCCGACCGGCCGTTTCGTTCGTGTCACACGATTGAGACGAAAGAGCCGCATTGGCCTTGGGTTTCCAGGGTTCACGAATCAATTTTTCAGCAGCACAAATTGTGTTCCTGTTTTCGTGGATGATCAAGCTATTGATACTGTATCTATTTTGAACATCTTTTCCTGTGTTTTGTTCTTCTCATCTTTCTCTGATGTCCACACTATCCCAATTGCTGATCAAGCGCCATGGTGGAAACATGTGAAGTAGAGAGGAATGTTTTCCCATGTTGGGTTTCATGTGCATCATACGTGTTGGGAAACTGCCGACATGGCAAACTGGGAGGCCAAGTGGTGCCGAAGCTGCTCCATTTTCTGAAAGAGTCTGGGACTCAGCAGCGCAGCTTGCGAGTGCGATAAGCCAGTTGAGGACACTGGCTCGCACGGTGGGATCATGGTTGGTGAAGCTGCGAAGCCACGTCTATAGGCGATTGGTTTGACCAGCAAAACAAGACGAACCCAGACCGACTGATCGATTCGTATATGACCCTATTTTTTGGGTGTCATGGTTGGTGTTGGATTTGAATCAACCTCACTCAAGATTCATCAAGATTCCCAAAACCGTCGAAAATTCCATCTCTCAAGAGATCTCAATCAAGGGCAGATGCCTTTGTGAAGCCTTGGCCACGGCTGCTTGATGATCCTGCTACAGGAGATGTGGCAGCGCCCAATCCACCATGTCACAGCCACAGCTGCCACAGCTTGTCAGCCCTCGGTCCCCGCCCACCATTTCGCCCCAGACGGACCCCAAGGGGTCTTTGTCTCGGTCGTCGCAAGGTATTACATGCGTGGCCAGGAGAAAGAGGTGCTCGGCCTTTTTCAGGAGACTCGGCACCGAGTCATGCCGAGTCTGGCCTGTGTGGAATTGAAGAACGGAACTGAATGGGTTGAAAAGCTGGGTTGACTTCAGTCAACACCTAATTTTCAGTAGGGGACACTTGTCCCCTTCTGTTAGTACAGGACGGTGTTCACAATAGTTGGCCTACGTTCCGAGAAATTCCCTCAAGTCCAGTTTCCTGCCAAAATTCTTCGAATGCTGCTTGCAGATCTGCCCAGGCCAGAAGCAACTTGATGGTTAGTTGCAGAACATCATTCCCCCAAAAAGGAAATTGGAACTAACACCATGGAACTTTGCTTCCCAGCCTGGGACAGCATTAGGTTGCTTGCGTCAGGACATGGACGCTGGGCGCTTCAATGTGGTCCGTGAGGAGTTCTCTGTTCGGGGCCTCAGTGGACTCTGAAGGACGAGCAACAACCCCCACTCCGTTGGACAGGCTCAACCCGCACCTCCCACAGGGGCAAACCGGATCCATGGGAGTGCCGAAACTTCTGAACTAGGAGTCTTTGTTTGATCCTTAGATCCATCATGGAGCGCTTCTCAATGTGTTTAGCAGATGCAGAACATATACTTCTTTGCGAGAGTATACCAAGTTAAGGTGCGTACACGACCACTTTGCTGTCATTGCTTTGCAGATGTGTTTTCGCTCGAAATGGTGTGGACAAACCAATCAGGTCAAACACATCCTTGGTGATACGCAAAGATGTGCCAAGAAGCCGTTGTTTTGGGGGTCCGACTGTCATGACCCTCAAAAGCAAGATCCTGAAAGACCTAAGAAGTTTGATGGATGATTTTGTTGTAAAGTCTGAAGGTCAGCACTCCAAAGAGGGGCGCCCTTTCGAGCCCAACGGTCGAACGACTTGCAAGCAGAGAATGGGTTCGAAGGTTCACCAGTTGGGCAAAAACCATCAAAAACCTATTTTCCCAACGTTTATTCGAGATCGACTTCTAGGATCTTTGAGGTGTAGTGTCTTTTTGAGTGGAAGCAAGGTCTCAGAAACCATCAGAGTCCAAAGTTTCATATGTACGTAGATCTCTTTGTGTTTAATGTGTTGACTTGGAATCTGTGAATTATGCTCTCAGGTGGGTCCAGAACATCGTCAGGCGGCTTTGAGGGCCTTCCAAGCCTGGAAGAATGAGGCGCAAGTTGAGTGCTGGTGAAAGTCCAGGTCTCATCAGTGGGTCCAGAATCTTCTGAACAAGTAGGTGAGTTGCTCATCTACTCCTCCTTTCAGAATGGCAGTTATTCAATTGTGTAATTGCTTTGATCTCGGTGTCGCCAAGTCCTTACATCTATGCCGGATGCCGCGGCTCCAATCATGTCTGACTGTTCCAAAAGCCCTTCAAGCGGTTCATGTGCAATCGATCTCAGGGTTGCATTGGCTTGCCTGTGGTCTACCACTCCACCCAGTACAAGCCCAGGGAGCCTCCTGGCATTTGGACGCGAGAAAAAGGGGGAGAGGGTCGAAAGACGTCGAACAAGCAGGAAACACTGCGTTCTCAAAAGATGTTAAACTTAAAAAGGAAATGTATTGAACAATTAAACCCAGAAAATTGAATCCGATCATTGTTTATTGTGTGTTTTTGTATGTTATTGTTATGTTTATAGAAGTTCTTTGTTTGTTGTTGTGCATTGTTCTTAATTGAATCTGAACATACCGCTAAGTCTTTTTCTTGTCCCTTATTTTGACCCTTCCTGAGTTCCTGCGATCTTATGTGTGGCCATTCCATGTCATTATTTGTGTTGTCCAAGGCTTTCTGGCTTTCTCTGCTGGAAGTGGTTGAGGCAAAACTTGCTGATCATCCATGTATTGTTTATCCAGAAAAAAACGGCCTCTACGTATCCGCTTTTGCCTGGTTGGAAGATGATCGCACCCCAGCTCCACCCCAGCTCCACCCCAGCTCCATCCTTTCTCGTCAGGACTCTCAACCTCGGACGTGTCGCAGAACCGCGCGCGGAACGTCGCAGAAGCCTCCACGGTTCGGAGCGACACCGTCCGTTTGGCCGGGCGGAGCGCTTTTCTCTGTCGAAGTGGTGCCAGAACTCTCAGGTGTTTCGTGGCCAAGCTGAAGGTGAGTGGCGTGGAACTCACCAAGTTCCCAGTGGGATCACCCAAGTTGGACGCTTATCAGGCGGAGGCCGCGGGGTGCTGGCACCGGTGCCACCTGGCCGTTTCCGGCAGGTGAGCTGTCTGACTAGAGCTGCATTGGTTTCTTGGTTGGGAGAGTGTTTCTTGGTCTGGAGGTATTCCACAGAATGCAACGTGTTTTTCAAAGTTTACCGAATGACGCATGGAGTACCAAGCTTGAATCAAACAAATTGCGTGCAAGCGTTTGACAGAAAGTGCCTTTGGTTGAACGATGAGAGCCTTTGTGCCATTGTGCAGAGCTAGGATCTTCTCCATTTTTTTGGGTCGATCTCAGTAATGTAGACTCTTGATTAATGACCCCCTCCCGATTGAATTGGAAATCTTTTTCATATGCGGGATTATGGTCCTCGAGAGTTTACATGATGCTTCTTTGTCTCAAGAGTCTCCACTGAGGAACCGAATTGAGTCTTCACATCCCGGAGTTGGATGATTTCGAAGGAAGTTTGTCGCTCGTTGTTGATATGTTATGATATGTTTGTGTCTACTTTTACGCTCACATTACTTGATATGTGCAAAGCGTTGGATTTCAAGATATCGCTAGAATGCTTGTTTGGCTTCGGTGCATGTTCTTTGCATTTCATGGAGCTGAGCACCGAAAGCTGCATCCGCTTTGTGGCGCGGCAGGGGAAGAATCCGGTCTCCCATGCAGAGGCAGGGTGCGAAAAGTCGCTCGCAGAAGCCAGTGGGATCGCTCGTGTGATCGGTAGTTTATGAGTGCCCCAAGGGATTGTTAGATGGTAATTACTCAAAAACTAGCAGAGGACAGATACGGGCCATCAGTATAGTATATGATGAATCGTTATTATACTTTTTGTTACATTTTGTTAAATTACTATATTGAAGAAACCTCATTGTAGATGGCTTTGGGGAAGCTTTGGAAGGAACATGTTCAATCCAAGGGTTCTTGTTTTTCCTCCGACAAAGACTATTTGTTTATCACGAAAGCTAGCATGCTAGCTGAGTTCTTCTTTGCTTTAGCAATTGGTAGTGGGATGAGCTGTGTGCCTTAAAGCTTGATATATCACGCTACCCCCCCCCCCACGGTTCGACTCCCAGCTGCGCCGTGTAGCGGGGGTTGGTTGAACGTGTGAACGTGGTTGGTTGGGTGTAAACGGTGGCTTGGTGTAAACGGTGCTGCTGCTGCCGCTCTGCTGCTTGCTGCTGCTGTTTGCTGTTGCCGCTGGTTGCCGCTTTTGTAGCGGTTCTTTGCTACTTGTTGCGGCTTGGTGCTGCTGCTGCTGTTGCTGACGGCGCCGCTGCTGCTGCTGCTTGCTGCTTGCTGCTTGCTGCCGGTGGTGCTGCTGCTGCTGCTGCTGCGGCTTGGTGCTGCGCTGCTGCTGCGTGGTGCTGCTGGCTGGCTGCTGGTTGGTGGTTGCTGCTGGCTGCTGGCTGCAGGCGGCTGCTGCTGCTGCTGCTGCTGCTGCTGGCTGCTGCTTGCGCTGGATAGGACTTGTACTTCACTGTTACAAGTTGTTTACCCCTATTTCTAACCTAATGCATGCATAAGCGGGGGGTAAATTTACCCCCCAGGTTTGCTATAACCATACACCGGCTATTTCCTCAAGACACTCTATTCCTGATACCTTTTACCAGTGCTTATCCTACACTACGGACGCCCTAGTGTATGCACAGTCCTTGTGATGCTTACCCCTCGTTCCGGCTCAAGGCATACATAAGCGGGGTGTAAATTTACCCCCCAGATTTGCCATAACCATAAGCCGGCTATTTCCTCAAGACACTCTACTCCTTATACCTTTTACCAGTGCTTATCCTACACTACGGACGCCCTAGTGTATGCACAGTCCTTGTGATGCCAGAAATGCTTACCCCTCTTTCCGGCACAAGGCATACATAAGCGGGGGGTAAATTTACCCCCCAGATTTGCAATAACCATAAGCCGGCTATTTCCTCAAAACGCTCTATTCCATATACCTTTTACCCGTGCTTCTCCTACACCACGGACGCCCTAGTGTATGTACAGTCCGTATGATGTCAGAAATGCTTACCCCTCTTTCCGACTCAAGGCATACAAAAGCGGGGGGTAAATTTACCCCCCAAATTTGCCGACCACGCATCTTCGTGCCTGCCAACGAGTGCACCCGGGTTGTTCCAATGTACCCTTCCCAGTCAGCGATGTCACATTTACATTCTTTAGCGCAAAGTATGTACACAGCAACCCCTCCCCCAAAACATGTAATCACTACATGCTTGCCGACTATGTAACTAATACATCCGGTGCGATTCGGCTAGCAGCTCAATCTTTGGAATTCATCACTGTTCACAATACCGAAATTGTCAAAGAACACCAACAAACCCATTCAGCGCTAAACACCGTACCTGTTGTTTCCAGTTCTTTTGGGTCGATTGGAAAACACGGGCCATGCTAGCCACATCAAAGCCGCTAAGGGGACACGCCATGGAAACAAACACCAGACAGTCGGCTGGCTGGCAGGTCCATCCAATTGGTGAGTCAGCCATCCAGTGATGTTTGACCGGCTTCGGCTGGTTAAAAAAGACACGTTTAAAATATATTAAAATGGTGATTGTTTTCCCATAGCTACGTACACACCACGAGAACAAAAATGCATACAGTAGCTACACACCTCGGGGAGTCGATTGTGACTGGGATCGACCTCTTCAGGTCGATCACTCTCAATTCACGCAGCGAGGCTGACTGGGCCAAAGTGGTTCAGCGAGAAGTTGGGGAGCCCTGAGCGGTGATGCTGGTGAGCCAGCTTGGTATGAGCGAACCGACTTGTTCATCCTAATTCATATACAATCATGTGTACATCATGATGTAAGGTCATATATGCATTATATATATTATATCCATTTTGACACATTGACAATCATTGATTAATATCCTACATGACATATTGCTCGGATCCAGGACTTTGCAGGCTCACCCACACTTCCCAGATGGGCTTGCCTTGGAAGGCAAAATTAGCCTTGGAACACGTGGGTCGAATCCATTTTCGGGTGCGTGCGAACTGCCAATTAAACTGCTGTGGAACAAGTTGGTCGTTCTCCCGAACTGTCCTCTCAAGACGTTTTCTTTTTTTCGATTGACCGCTGGCGCCGATTTGGCGCTCAGGGGAAGGGCTGGTTCGTGCCAGATCCACCGGAGGTCGACCAGGTTCGTGCCGGAACCGGAGTTGGTGAGTCGACAGGGCTTTGATGATGACAGCGGCTTCAGCTAGATGTCCACACTTCATGCTTTGGTTGAACCTGGAGAGATAAAAGGTGCCCATCATGATGTTCGATGATCTAGGTAATCGACATAGGTGTTCTTTGGATCTGATAGCGGGTGGCTTTAAACCTGGCTGCTTTACTTGAAAAAGGAAAAACATAGCCTTAAGAAAAACTAAAATGAACTAATGATATCCATTCTTGCAATACATTGAAAATTTGCTGAAAATATGTCCTTTTAAGAAAATGAATACCCATGTTTTGTGTGTTTGTGTGTGTGGCTGGTGGGATAAATG